TGGGGGTGGGGTTGGCGGGGAGAAAAGTACTACAATGAATGAATGAAATTCCAAAATCTCTATAGATGTTCATTGAAATGGAAAATAAATAAATTAATTAAAAACAAACAAAAAACTGATGCCTTTTTTCCAGGGTCTACTCTGTCCTGGCCATATGGACAAAGTATTTGAGACGGAGCTTCAAAATTCTAGCCTCCAAGGATAAACTTGGTTTCACCCTCTCCAAGATAGACCTGTTTGTTTTCTTGGCAGTCCATGGTATGCTCAAGACTCTTGCACCACATGTCAAAGGCATCAGTTCTTCTGTCACCCTTAGTCATTTTCCAGCTCTCTGATCTATAGCAAATAATTGTGAAGACTATGGTCTGAATTAGGCACACCTTAGTCTCTAACATGTTGCTTCTCAGTACATTGGAGAGGTTCCTGAAAGCAGATGTTCCCAGTGTAACCTGACTTTTGATTTCCTGACTTCTGGTGCCAAGAATGTTAATGATGGAACTGAGAAAGTTGTAATTGTTAACGACCTCAATCTCGTCCATCTAACATGGTGCTGTCAATCAGCCCAGTGGTGAGAATTTTTGTCTTCTTGATGTTGAGCTTCAATCCATAGTGAAGACTACAATCCTTGACCTTCTGCAGCAAGCGCTTCAGGTTCTCCTCAGTTTTTAGCAAATAGGTTCTGTTATCTGCTTAATGCAGGTTGTTGATGAGTCTTCCTCCAAAACTTTTGCCAAATTTCTCCTCACAGAACCCAGCCTCTCAAAAAATTTATTCTGCTTCTATATTGAAAAGGTATGCAGACAGAACACACCCCTGACATACTCCTTTTCTAATTTCAAACCATGCTATGTTTCCTAGCACTGTTCTGAGGACTGCTTCCTGGTCTGAGTATACATTTTGCATGAGCACAGTTAAGTATTCTGGAATTCCCAGTCTACTCAAGGTTAGCCACAATTTGTTGTGTTCAGTACAAATACATCAAATAAGTATGTTGTTGTTGTTGTTATTGTCAAATTGCCTGTGACCTATAGTGACCTTATCTATAGCAGCTCTGAACTCTGCCCTGTCCTGACCCAGTCTTACCAATTCTGACACACAATCCCCATTGTCCCAGTCACTGTATCAATCCAACTTATCCGGAGTCTTCCTCTCCTGTGCTGTCCCTCTACCCTTCCAAGCATGATGTCATTCTCCAAGGACCAGTCTCTCCTGGCCACGTCCCCAAAGTATATGAGACAGAGCTTCAAAACCCTAGCCTCCAAGGGGAGACTTGCTTTCATCCTCCAAAAGACAGACCTATTTGTTTTCTTGGCAATCCATAGTAAAACTCTTCTCCAGCACCACAATTCAAAGGCATAGATTCTTCCTCTGTCAGCCTTAGTCAAAGTCCAACTCTCTGAGGCATAACAAGTAATTGCAAAGACCATGGCCTGGATTAGGTGCACCTTAGTCTCTATATTGACATTGTTGTTTTAAAGTAATCTGGAAAGGTCCCTGACAGCAGATTTTTCCAATGCAATTTGTCTTTTGATTTCCTGACTGCTGAGGTTAAAAGTGTTGATTGTGAAATTGTTAACAACCTCAATCTCTTCTCCATAAATCTAATGCTGCCAACTGGCCCAGTGGTGAGAATCTTTCTCTTCTTGTTTAGCTTCAGTCCATATCAAAGACTATAATCCTTGACATTCCACAGTTAGCATGTCAAGTCTCCCTCAGATTTAGCAAACAAAGTTGTGTCATCTGCACATTGTAGGTTGTTGATGAGTCTTCTTTGGATCCTGATATCACATTCCTCCTCCTAAAGCTCTACTTCCCCAACGATTTTTTCTGCATATAGATTGAAAAGGTATGGAAGCAGGATGCATCCCTTATGCACTCCATTCTTGACTTTGAACCATGCAATATTTCCCTGCTCTACTCTGAGGACTGCTTCCTGGTCCATGTATAAGTTTCACATAAGCTCAATCAAGCATATATGATCACAAACAAAATTGTTAGACAAAGAGAGAGAGAAAATATTTCTAGTCCTGCTATTATTGTTGTGCACTATGGAGTAAGAACCAACTCAGAGTAGACCCTTTAGCAGTTTTTAGGAGATATAAATCACACGGGCAGAGAATGTTCAACTTCTTCTAATGGAGAAGCTGGTAGATTCCAGCTGTGTGCCTTTTGAGTGCCAGTACAACTTCTTACTACTAAGCCAGTTTAGTTCCCTATTCTTAGCATAAAGACATAATAATTTCATAGTAGGCTAAGTGTGCTTTTCTATCAATAAAGCAACAAATGACCATCTTGAGGGTAAAGAAAATTAAAGAAATTAAGATGAGTTTCAAAGGTAAAAAGTAGTCAATTCATAAAAAATTGTTCAATTTCACAAGTAGGCAAAATTGAAGAATGAAAATAAGAAGCCAGTTTATCTGTTTAATTTTTTCCCATTAAATAATTTACAATAGACACTTTTGACTTTGGCATTGCTAACAAACTTGAGAAAACAAGGAACCATCAGTAACAATCCTTAACACATCTATTTGAACTTCATACTTCCTATTCTGAGAATTAATAGAATATTGTTGCATTGCACTAGGCTTGGGCAGAAAGTTATTATCATGTAATAATGAAAGTACAACTAGTTGTACATAGGGTCACTATGAGCTGCAAGTGACTTGATGGCTCAAGGACTGCAGCCTACAATATGGATTGAGACTCAATGTCAAGAAGACAAAGATTCTCACCACTGGACCAATTGGCAGCATCAGGATGGATGGTGAAGAGATTGAGATTGTTCACAGCTTTAGTTTGCTTGGCTCCATAGTCAACAGTCTTGGCACCAGCAGCCAGGAAATTAAAAGGTTCATTGCCATGGGGAAGTCTTCTGTTACGGACCTCTCCAAAGTACTGAAGAGCAATGGTGTCTCTCTGGAGACTAAGGTGCGTCTGATACAAGCTATGGTCTTCACAATCACTTCTTATGCATCAGAGAGTTGGACAATGACCAAGGAGGATAGAAGGAGAATTGATGCCTTTGAACTGTGGTGCTGGAGAATAGTATTGAGAATACCATGGGCTGCTAGGAAAACAAACCAATTTGTCCTAGGAAGGGTTAAACTGGGTGGCTCCTTGGAGGCAAGGATTCTGAGACTCCGTCTAACATACTTTGGACATGTTGTGAGGAGACACTGGTCCTTAGAGAGGGATATCATGCTTGGGAGGGTGGAGGGACGGCGCAGGAGAGGAAGGCCCTCTATGAGGTGGAGTGATTCAGTGACTGGGATAATTGGGATGGGAGTGTCAGAGACAGTGTGATTGGCACAGGACAGAGCAGAGTTTAGGGCTGTTGTACATAGAGTCGCTATGAGTCTCAAGTGACTCGACAGCACATAACAACAACAACACTAGTTTATTTACAAAATTCAAATGCATTGTTTAACAGAACAAATTCTTCCAATTTCCCTCACCTCATCACCAATCAAATTTTACAGCTCTATGATTAATCCGCCACCCACCCCTGCACATCCTCATCCTTCTAATCAAATCCTACCACCACCCTGATCCTTAAACTCATTCTATTGTTTTAAACAATATTTGTCCTTGTGGGACTGATTTAGTTCACTCAACATAATGCTCTCCAGTCCCTCCCGAATTAGGTAATAATTTACAAAATCAATTCCTACTCTTTGGAGGTGTCCCCTGTGTCCAAATGCATATATGCTCCACGGATTTTCTTTTTTCCAATGGCATTTTTTATAGTAAATTGTTAGCTCTTTATTCTGAAGTGATTTTAGGTAGGTTTGAAAGCCAAACATTGAGGTATCAGCCAAGTGTATTAATAATTTGCTTAACCTTGAGATTCTAATAATAGTTGCATGGATAACCAAATATTAAATGATAGTGAATCATATGGGTAAAGGGAAGGTTGATTTAAAATGAATAGACCATCAGGCATTATGTATAATGCAATTAACAATTTGGAACAGAACATATATTGTAGGTTATATGGGGGGAAGGAAAGAGAAAAAAAACCCTTTAAAAAGAGAAGATGAGTGAAAGTAATAATAATATGCAATAAGGGTTTGCTTAAACACTGTAATAAGACAATTGCATCAGTCAGTGATAAGTAATGCCTATGAATGATTTTCTGGAAAATCCCCTCAATGTGATTTATAAACTTTCACCCATACAAAATTGTTTGTTGTTGTTGTTATGTGCCGTCGAGTCGTTTGCTACTCATAGCCACCCTATGCACAACAGCCCTAAACCCTGCTCTATCCTGCGCCAACTACACTGCCTCTGACACACCCATCCCGATTACCCCAGTGACTGAATCAATCCACCTAATAGAGGGTCTTCCCCTCCTGCGCTGTCCCTCTACTCTACCCAGCATGATGTCCCTCTCTAAAGACCTGTCTTTCCTTACAACATGTCCAAAGTATGTCAGACGAAGCCCCAGAATCCTTGCCTCCAAGGAGCAGCCTGGTTTAACCCTCTCTAGGATGAATCTGTTTGT